AATCCGGAATCTAACTCTCCTCAATCCATATGGTTTACTAAATAACTTCAATAGGAATCCGGAATTTAATTCTCTTCAATCCAACTCCTCTTCAATTTAGTTTATCTTTAATTCAATTCCTCCTAATCCAATTATGGATTAGTGAACATGTCATAAGTATACAAAGAGAAAAGGTAGGATGATGGTGGGAGATCATTTGTGGTAAATTGTTGTTTATTATGTGTAAGATGTGTAAGCCATTTTATTGTCTTAGTCCTGGAAATATGATGTTCTAATCCTAAGAGGCTTGAGTGTTTTAATTGATTATGGAATAGAACTCAAGCTTTTCGGATAACCACTTATATAGAACTTATTAAAGTAAAACACAAGTGTTAATAGAATTCCTAATACAATATGGATTGAAACGAACCTAGTCTAATGCAAATAGAATACTTGAAGGCTTCTTAATAGGCAAGGCATTCGAGTAATGCATGTATATATAGGGGTCCCTTCCCTTGCAGCTAAACACACTCAAAAACAGACTCTCACCTTATCTAGAGAAAAGAGAATTAAAGAGTTGCTTAGGAGAAGAAGATCCTCTATAGTTGTCATGCCTGAGGAAGGTTAGTATTTTAGAATAAAAGCCTAGTAAGGATTTATATGTGGTATCAGAGCTCTAGGTTTTTATTCTTTAATCTAATCCATGTTTTAAACACAAAAGTTATTTTAAACCTAATTGTTTATATCATAAGTTATATTAGCATGTAGTTTTCACCAATTTGCATATCTTATTTGTTAAGTTATGATCAAGAGCATAAGGTTATTACTGCTATGCTGAAAAGACTTTTGATCAATGATTTAAAAACTGTCATGCAGAATGAGTGAGCCACAACTGCTTAGGCTGAGTGAGAGGTTTTTAATTTGACAGTTTGGTCAAAAATTGCATCCATACTCGTCGCCTTATGTAGGGGTGGGCATCAATCTGGCCGATTCGACCAAACCAGTAGAACCAAACCATATTTTCTAGTTTGGTTTGGTTTTGACTTTAAAAAAGTCAACAGTTTTAAAATTTGAACCAAACTGGAGTAGTTTGGTTCATCTGTAGTTTTAAGCTTTGGAAAACTGTGCTAATCTGAACCGAACCGTTTAAATATTAATTATATATATACATATATTAGTTTACATGTGTCAATGGTTGAGTGGCTAATTAGATGTGTAAGTGAATACCCAACTGCACTAAATTGGACTCGAAACAACTTACAACTCTCTCACATCTCATCTCATCTTCGTTGAATACGCAGCCCCATCTCATCTCTTCTTCCTCACTCAACCCACATGAACCTAAGAGAAGCCACCATTGATTTGAACCACTACAACCTCCACTGCTTCAATCAAACCCATTCTCACATCTCACAAACCTCATCGGTGTCGCACCTCTATCGTCGATGTAGCAGAAACCTTGTCAACGTCATATCTCTATCATCGGCATCGCACCTCCATCGTCGGCGTCGCACATCCATTGTTGGCGTCACACCTTCATCGTCGGTGTCGCACCTCCATCGTCGACGTCGCACCTCTATTGATTCAAACGTGCTCCTCTCATATATGATTCAAACTCTTAGGCAGGGTTCTTGCAAGGAAGCATATGATTCGAACCTGTGCTATGGTTGGAAGTAAGCATCTGTCAGATTAAGGGAACCTATGATGTGCTGTGCTATGGTTGCAAGGAAGCATCTGTCTGTCTAATTAATTATTTGCAAAGAACCTGTGTTGTGCTCCTCTCATACTAGTTTGCTTTTGCTTATCTAGAAACTCATCTATCTTCGTCATTACCAAAGTTCATATCTCAAACCAAGGCCGATGGATGAAGCTAACTCAATTCCAATGATGGTGAGTTCTTCTAATTTATCTAATTTCTTTGCAGCTTATGCTTAACTAATTTCGATGTTTAGATAACCAGTTTTGCCAATCTGATTATATGTAATTTTTTTTTGTTTGAAATGTTTTGTTCTTGGTAAAGATTACCATTAAAACAAACTCATTACTTAGCTTTTCCAATCTGATTATACGTGTTGTTCAAACCTTTTTCTTTTTCACTTTTCACATTGTGAATCACAATATGAACTGAAAAACAAGATGAGCAAATAGTTATTGATGTGTAAGACGTGTGCTTCGTTTGGGGTTTAATTTAGTTTTAGTTGGCTTGATTAGATTGGTTATAAGATGCTTCATGCAAGATTCTGTTTTGGCTTTTAGTTCTGTACTTTGGCGGTGTGAATGAAAATGGACATAAGGTATAAAAAAACCTAGGATGATAACCATTTTTTTACTTTTTTGGATAATGGTGTGTGATAATTATTGGGTTTTCTTTTCCTTATTTTTTTTGTGTTTGGGATTTTTTTAATTTCTCATTTTTGCTCTTTTTTAATTTTCATGAGTTTGGACTTACTGCAAAATAAATTAACTCGTAAGTTTTATTACATTTGGGCTTCACTAGCTCTTATTGTTTGGTGTTTGTTTGTTCACGATCATAATGTTATGAAATTTATTAAGGTTTAGGATTTAGGGTAAAAGTGCAATTTTTTTGATTTAAGGTGCAATCTGTCTAATTAAGGAAAAAGGCTATGAAGGAAAAGTGGAAAAATATACAAGAAGATAAAGAGGCAGTGGTTTTATCTCATGAGATAGATAGATATTTGTCGAATGCTGCAGAACAAGATATTGAACACTTTGACATTTTAAATTGGTGAAGGGTGAATGCTTCTAAATATCCAGTTTTAGTGGCCATTGCAAGAGATGTGCTTGCAATTCCAGTCTCTACAGTTGCTTCAGAATATCACATCACCATCATCATATCAACATTGGCACAGGCTTTCAAAGAGCTTTCAAATATATATGAACTAACATACAATATGCAAATGAGTCTCTGGTGAAAGATTAAAGAACCTACATACAAACTAACGTAACTCATGTTGATGCCCAATACTAAAATTGACAAATACAGTATATCACTTACCTCAAAATCTCAACAAATATGACAATGTCGCCCCTTTGAATTTGGACGTCAACCCCAAAAACTTTTCATCTTCCTCAACCCATGTTTCGACCATGCTTAAGGATTTCAAAACCAAGAGAATAGAACCACAAGGGTCGCGGTCACCAGTTTCCAACTCAACGCTAGTTTCGATGTTGCTCAAGAATTGACAAATGTTCCGACCGGAAAGACCAAACCACAAAGATGAGTCACCAGTTTCCAACTCAACGCTAGTTTCGATGTTGCTCAATAATTGACAAATGTTCCGACCGGAAAGACCAAACCACAAAGATGGAAATATAAAATCGAAGATTGCTTTGTTTCTCCTGAATGAGAAAGCCAAAAAAATGAAGGCGCTCTTCAGTGTTCTTCCTCAAAGCAAATAAGGAATTACAAGGGTGCTCTCTCTTCAGCGTTAGTGTTCTTCCTCAATTAAAGCTGATAAAAAAATCGGCCTCCTAATTGAACAAAGCGAACAACTGGTTTAGAAGGGACATTTGTTTTGGAGGGAGGAGAGAGAAGAATGTCTCGTTCTAATACAACAGTTTCACTTACAATTACTTTTTATGCAACCGTTGGATTAGATCTAACGGTGTTCTCATGTAATGTTATCATGTAAGTGTTTTCACTAGATAACCGCCCCCACTTTCTTTTGTCTTTTGCCATGGCAAATGGGTAGAAGTGCTAGAAAGTAAAAGTATGTTACAGTAAAATGATATTCTGTTGAAGCTTTCCTGGGCCTTGATACAACTCAACTCCTACATTAGTTAAGTCAAGAGTAAAATATGAATCATTACCTTTTAGTTTTTGAAGCTTAAAAGCAAGATAAGCTGTTTGAAACTGTCATTTGTGTTCAAAATAACACTGTTTTCCTAGATTATACATATGACTTGTAAGTTGGAGTATTACATATGTCCAAAGAGGTATGCTGCTGACGAGACCAAAGACTCTTTTAGCAGTCCGTATTGTTCTTTTATTGGTTAACATGATTCCAAATTTTGCTTTTTTGTTACAGAAATGAGAACCCATTGATGCACTAGTCTGTTTTCCTTTTACTTCCTTTTTCTTCTTCTTTTTGTGTGTTTTTTAAAATATGAATGAACTGCAGATGTCTTTAGATTAGGCAGGAGTATTTTAGGTGTTTTGACTCTTGGAGAGAAAGCAATATCTTGCACTTGGACATCAACGTGAAACAATTAGCTATTGGATCTTTTCTCAACATCAAGATTTTATTACCACTTCATTTTTTTTCAAATGTGCATTGGCCAGTCTTTAGTTTCCTCAAACCACATCATTATTTCAATTAAGATTTTCTTTAAGAAGCTTAGGTGTATTTTGTGTGTGTTTAATTATGCTTTTGGTATTTCAGTCTTTCAATGTATTTTGTGTATTGCCTCCCAGGTTCAGCCCAGAAGCTCTAAACTGGTTGTTTATCAAGGGATTGGTTGGTTGGTTTTTGCAAGTTGCGCTACTGAAAGTAACACTGCTTTCCTTGGGTAGTGGTGAGGCACCATTTCTAGACATTGCGGAATATGCTGGGTATGCTTTCACAGGGTTGTGCTTGGCTGTGCTTGGACGGATTATGTTGAGTTACTCGTACTATTTTTTGATGTCGTGGACCTGTTTATGCATGGGAGTCTTCTTGGTGAAGACTATGAAGAGAGTACTTTTTGCGGAGGTGAGGACTTATGATTCAAGCAAGCACCATTATCTCTTGCTCTTTATTGCTTTGTCTCAGTTCCCCCTTTTTACATGGCTTGGCAACATTAGTGTTAATTGGCTTATATAAGACAGCTTATTTTGTACGAGTTAGAACTAATTCTTGTTTATAGAGGCTTCCGACATCTTGTACACAATTTTCTTTTTATCTTCTCTATAATTTTATTAGCTTTTTGTAGGACGAATCTACGTTTGGTGCAAACAGATGCCCAAAAAGTAGTTTTCCCATTTCTTGCAATGCATAATGCTGATTGGTTTGGCTGGCACAACTCAAAACATGCTTATACAAACATTTATTAAGACTCAGACATTTATCAAATTTATTCCTATATTCTCTTGCATTGATCACCATATTTCATCAGCACAATAGCACATAGAAAAAAAATAATACCCATTTCACAACAAACGCACAAGCAATTTGTAAAAGCACTTCTTCCTCAAGTTGTTAATGCACCCCTCACTTTCCAGGAACAAAGTTTGTGGCATATGCCCAGGCATTGTTGTTAACAGGGTCAGCCAAGTGGTCAGCTAGGTTTTCTATTGGTCCCTTTCCAGTAACAATGGCCAGCACAAAGAACCCAAACATAGAGAACATAGCTAGTCTTCCATTCTTGAGCTCCTTCACCTTCAGCTCAGCAAAAGCTTCTGGATCCTCTGCAAGGCCTAATGGGTCAAAACTCCCACCTGGGTATAATGGGTCTGTTACTTCACCAAGAGGCCCACCGGCAATTCTGTACCCTTCCACGGCACCCATCAAGATAACTTGTGTTGCCCAAATCACCAAAATGCTCTGGGCATGGACTAAGCTTGGGTTCCCCAAGTAGTCTAGCCCACCCTCGCTAAATATTTGGGCTCCAGCCTTGAACCAAACAGCCTCACCGAACTTGACTCCGTTACGGGACAAGAGTTCAGGGAAAACGCAGCCCAATGCACCAAGCATGGCCCATCTTGAATGGATAACCTCAAGTCACGGTTCTTGGCAAAGGTCTCTGGGTCTGCTGAGAGCCCAGCAGTGTCCCAACCGTAATCACCAGGGAATTCTCCGGTGAGGTAAGATGGGGCCTCACCAGAGAATGGGCCTAAGTACTTAACACGGTCAGGGCCGTACCACGGGCTGCCAGATGACACAGTTTTGGACCTGGCTGTGGTTTTGCGCATGGTGACCCGGCCCTCACCGAGAAGGTTAGAAGTAGACACGTACCACGGGCTGCCAGATGACACAGTTTTGGACCTGGCTGCGGTTTTGCGCATGGTGACCCGGCCCTCACCGAGAAGGTTAGAAGTAGACGGACTAAGCTTGACGGCTTCGCCTACTAGAGAAGAGGAGGAGAGAGCCATTGTTGAAGATGCCATTTCAGAAAAGAAAAAGAAAAAAAAAGTGTATTGTCTTTTAGACAATGTGGAAGTGCTGATTGCTTGTTTGAAGAGAGTAGTCAGTGAGTATACTTATAGTTCTTGGCACATTGGGTCCTTATCTATGAGATATCTTCATCTCTTTTCCCATTGGTGAAAATAAACTTCTCAGATTTTCAAGATGAATTTCTTTTTTTCTCTCTTTCCAGTTGGCTTCACATGCTCCACTAGTTAGTTTCTTAAACAAAAAATAAAAGTGAAAGAAAAAGGAAAACCTGCTCTAGATATTATGCTATAAACGCTAGCCAGAAGAATTTGCCCTGTAAGTTGTATCGACTTAATTTCCAGTTGGGTTCATATGCTCCACTAGTTAGCTCCGAAATGGCAAAAACAGGGAAAAGAAAATGAAGAGGTAACTCAGTTTTGGATATTTGACATGCTCTGCTGTGCTCTAACCAATAGGATTTCGCCACCTACTCTTTTGGATGAGAGCAGTGACCTGTAAAGGATCTAGGATAAGGAGAGAAGAATCTAACACTTTGAAATCTCTGTTGGCTTCATCAAATTGAAATCTCTGTTGGCTTCATCAAAAGATAAGTCAAAGAATTTGACAGGAAAATGACCAAGAGGAAAGCACCACTAGGGAGGGATCCATGTCAGCTGAAGCCTTTCTGATGACTCATTAATAATGTTCGCCCAATAAAAAAAGGATGACTCATTTCATTAATGTTCTAGACAAGGGATTTTGAAGAATATTCAACAATTTCCTTCTATTCTTTTAATCCTTGCCCAAATAAAGTTCTTCCTTATAAATGCAAAAGTCTCTGAACAACTAGTGCCCTTGACCAAATAAGAGAAATAGGAATACAATGACCATATCGAGCCTAGTCCAACCATTTAGATGATAGAATTATTCGGAATAAAATAAAAGCAAATTTAGGTTTTAGCCAAAAAAAAATTTCACTTTTGGAAAAAGCCAAAGCTTTTTAAAAAAAAGACAGAAAAACCTCTCAACTTTCAAATCAAAGACATGCAAATGTAAAGGATTCCTTAGGAAATCCAAAAATAAATAAGGGTAATTTTGTCTATTTTTGCTTATTTTACAAACTTTCTCTCTCCTTTGTGTTTTTCCAAAGTCTCCCGGACTCAAGATTTTATTTATGAGATATGAGATATAAGTGTTCTTCAATTAAGAGATCCCTCGAATAATTTTATTTGTGAGACACCCTTTAGGGTACCCTACAAATTTTTTTTAAACGATCCAAATTGTCTATTTTTCAAGTCTTCATTCATAAATCATCCTTGCAAAAACCGGACAAATTGAAAATCATTAAGGCATTCAATTGCAAGCAATAAAATAGACGAACACAATGCGTCAAGAAAAGACTAAAATAACAATCATCTAATTGAGTGGTCAAACTATTTCGGATTCAAGTGAATTTTTGCAGGATCTTTGAGGGAATATCTAAAATCTAGATGGTTCAGATCATTGAAAAATAATGTGTGGTGGACTCTACAAAGATTTTCTCAACTAAGCTTAGTTTATATATAGGCTTAACGACAAAAGACTCCCTAAAGGTGTCATTCTCAATATGGGTCATGGAGTTGAAATTTCATCAATTTACACCCCAGTGTTTTAAACTCTGACCAATTTAAATACTCTGTTAAGTTGACCATTTGGTTAGATGTTATGACGTGTACACTGTAGGACCTACCTATTGATTAATCCATAAAAAAAATTTAAAAATGATAAAAAATTAATTTAAAAAATTAAAAAAACCCAGCCCCTCCCTGCCCAACAACCCAACACCCCCTAGTTCACACACCCCCTCTCACCTACGAACATACAATCACAGCGGCACCATATACAACTAATTTCTTTTCTGTTCAAATTGGGAGGGTTGTTTAATCCCCAAATTCGTGAACTATTGGCCATCTTTCTTCTCTCTTCCTTTCACCTCCCTCTCTCTATTGCCTGACCACTTTCTAGATTTGACCCCACCATCTCTTTTCCCTTCTCTTTCTTATTTTTCTATTTGCCTGTTGTTGAGGCCCAAAAAGTCACGAGAAACCCAAAGACATTTAAAGCCCAATATAACATATAATGTTGGTCATGCGTTAATCCAAGCTGTATTTTGAGAATTAATTCATTAAATAAATAGAGAAATAGTGTGCATGACATGCCAAGCCAATAATACATTTTTCATATGTCAATCACCTATCAAGCTCATATGAAGCCAAGTATGTGGTTTACGGGACTTGCATGAGAGATTGTGGTGCTGAAGGTTACAGAAGTCCACAAGGCTCATAGAAGCTCTTGGATAAAGGAGACTTTGGGTTAACTATTTGGGAGCACCAAAATGCAAGCCCATTGCTTGGAGTTCTCCAATGTGGGTGAGCAAATGAGATATCCTTCAAGCACTCCTTATTACCCTTTGAAAACAAGCCAATTTCGACACCTTACTTTACCCATAGGAAATAGTCATTTTTCAATGCCTAGCTTTGCCTGTTAGAAATAATAATGTCTCAATGCTTCCTTTTACAAGTTGGAAATAAAATGGTTTCATCACCTCCTTTTACTCATTGGAAATAAAGGAAAGCCCGTGCCTTCTATAAATTAGAAGCCATGACACAAGTAGAGAACAACATCTCTTGGTTGCTCAAGCACCCCAGCAACCATCATACTACCTTCCTTCCTCCCTTCGACTGTTGCAAGCATTCCAGCAGCCATCCCAGCCATTCCTCAGCTATCACAATCATTTCTTCTACTTTCTTAGCCTTGAAATCCTCCATCTTCCTTATAAAGCCTCAATAAGCATAACTCCAAGCTTTTTTTTCCTCCTTATACCTTTCCAAGCTATAAACGTCATGGCCTTCAAACCTTAAGTTTTTCCTTCCATCATCCTTCTCTCGAAACTCTTAAATCACCATAGCCATAGCCACAAACAACAAATTATCAACACCTAAACTCAAGCATATCCAACACCAAGCCAAGCACATGCATTCTCATTTGCTAAACTTGTGGGTCTTTAGCCCCTTGGAACTCATGTCGAATCTTGTTACATAATCCAACACCCAAATGATGTCGGACCCACTACAAACTTTACACCTCTTACCCGTACTTTTAAGAAAAATGAATCGAGACTTCTACCAAAATTTCGGCTGAGTCTCCCCTGTAAAATGGACTTTTCCCAAATTAACTCCTGCAAATAATAACAATCTAATAATCCCAATTGGCAACACATACAAAATAAGGCACACACAAATTTCACATGGCCTATCGCCTGAAATTCAGTCCTAAGTGGGAAATATCATAGCAACTACTAGAGTTAAATTTACAAAGTTAGTTTCCAAATAAACAACGAGAATGGCAAATAAAGTTTCCTACTAGGTAGAACTACTAGGACTTCTCCGATGCCGGAGTAGCTTACGTGGACGTCTGAACTTTGAGCTATCTACATCCTGGGGACGCAAAATAGTAAAAGCGTGAGTGGACAAAAAAAAAAGTTTTTCTTGAAAGTAATTATACAGAACATACTAACCCCTCTGTTTTCGCAAACTTTTGAAAACTTACTAAAACACAAACAAATTTACGTATGAACAAAATAAAATAAATACACATGTAGGTAAAACAATCTCGGAACTAACTGGAAAGTAAAGTTTCAATTAATACAATCTGGTATTTCAAACAACATTTAAATCCCAAAATATTGAGTAACTCAAAAATATAATTCAACAAAAGTCAAGTTTCGAACCATTCTTGGAATTCAATAAATCAAGCAAGCTCAAAATACAATTCAATCGAAATCTAGTCTCAATCCAATTCATACACAAACTCTCCACCCAAGTATACCTATGAGGAAAACTGGCCAATCTTGTGTAGTATATAGGCAGGGTGGCAGGGGAAAATCCTGGGGAAACTCATTGGCCGAACCCTTGCAATTGTGATACGAGTATAGGCAATAAACTGAGGGCAACCGGGGAATGGGAAAACTGGTCAACCATCTGTGTAGACAAACGGGCAGGTGGCGGGGGAAAATCTTGGCCGGATACCCACGTAAGCAGGTAGAGGCAATACACAACTGAGGGCAACCGGGGAATGGGAAAACTGGTCAACCATCTATGTAGACAAACGGGCAGGTGGCGGGGGAAAATCTTGGCCGGATACCCACGTAAGCAGGTAGAGGCAATACAATGGCCGAACACCTACAGAATAACCTTACAGTAGGTACAGGCAAACAATTGGCCAGACACCTAAGTAGTCAACACAGGTTTGGGCGATATACTCTGGCCGGACACCTACAGAGTAGTCTCTATGTAGGTACAAGCAATCCTAGTCATGTGCATAGACTCTACCAAAGGCAACCGGTTCACTTTTTCGAAGGCAGCTATTATATTCTTTTCAACTGGCAACAATTATACTTTTTCGAAGGCAACTGGGTGGGTTGTGTTTGAAATCCACTTCTTAACACTTAAACATTGTTGAGGCCCAAAAATCCGAGGGCTAGGCCCAAGTTAATTCTTAGCCCAACATAAGTAATTAATCACAAAATAGGCCCAATCGGGACATAAGAGAAATTGGAGGACGCACCTACATAAGCCATGGGTCATGTGTCACGCCAAGACATGTGCAAAAAGGCCAAAATGCACCGGCTTTATAAATTCACACTCACTAACCTAATCAGATGCTACTTGGCCCGATCATGGCTTATTGTGGCGTAATAAAATTCAAGCACAAGCAAGCTAAATAAACACGCAAGGTCATGTAAAAAACCGCTATTTTAATACCGAGCCATGCTACAGGCTTAAGTGGGCCCAAGCCACGTAATTACCCCGGGCTTGTTGAGAAGGTTGTGGTGTGGATGGGTATGAGCACTCATAAAGCCCATTGAGAGATCAAGGAATGAGAGCTTTGGGCTGCTTGGGAGCACCAAAACTCAAGCCCATTTCTTGAGCCCAAGCACATGGGCTAGCATGAGAGAGAGAACATGACCCAATGCCTTAGAAAGAATACAATGGTTTGATTAGAAAACCCTATGTTAGTTAGAGCACCCAAATACTTTGTTAAAAACGCAGCATGCAAACTACTTCTAGCAACCTGACGAAAACAAGCTCACTAGTCGATGTAGAATAGAGTACCACTGACCCAAAACTTTGGGAAAAGCCCAGTCCAGTGCTCTACAAAATATCTAGCAGCGTGTTTAGCCTTTGCCCAAAGTTCTATGACAGAGTCAACGGAAGCCACTGTAAAAACCAAAAGAAATTCGTACAAGTAAGAGGGATATTCGTTGGGCAAACGATCTATCCATTCTCCCTTTCCTCTGTTAGCTCCCATAGGAAAACCAGGGAAGAAAGTGGTTGGCGCCTCACCCCTATGGAGAAGTCTAGCTGCATCAAACCCTTGGAACCCCAAAGGGCTCATTACCCATGCGCCTTGGATATGAAAATTTTACCGAATAGGATTAAATGGAAAGAAGCAAAGAAAAAGGAAGAAGGAGGTTAGACAAAATTAGGGGTTCTAAGTGCCTATAAAAAGGGAGCTTCCTCTACCCAACAAATCATCATCCAAAGCCTGACCAAGCTTTGTCAAGCAACTGGGAATTTACTCAAGCCACCCGATCTTTTTCTTTCCCTAAGATAGAAATCTTCTTAATTTTCCTCTGGCCCACTTGAAACCTTTGTTCTCTGTGAGAAACTCATTCTTTTCTCTCTCTCAAATCGCTAAACTTGTGAATGCTTAGCTCCCATGCCACAAACTCCTCAAGCCAAGTCACTCATCAATTTGTTATGGCTATTGGTGAAAAGAACCTAAGAGTGTTTTTCTAAAGTTTCATCAAACTCTTCAAAAACTCTTTTGGGAGCCTGGTTCTTGAACTCAGGCACTGAGGGAATTTTACTCGTTTTCTTCTTACAACAGCCCAAGCTCATTCGTCAGGCTACTGGAACAAAAAGACCCATACAAATATAAAAACTCCATTTTTCTTTTCTATTATTAACTTTCATTTAGTTATTCTTGAAGCATTTTTTTTTTTCTTTCCTATTGTTAGATTTGATATTTTTATATGAATATGCTTAGGATTAGGAATTTTCTTTCCTTTTTTTTGTTTGTACTTTTTTTTCCTATTATTAACTTTCATTTAGTTATTCTTGAAGCTTTTTTTTTTCCTTTCCTATTGTTAGATATGATATTTTATACGAATATACTTAGGATTATGAATTTTCTTTCCTATTTTTTGTACTTACTTTTTTTAAAAAAAATTTATATATCAAGGTACCATATCTTTATTAAAATCTTTCTTTATTATTAAATTTCGTAAAATATTTTTTTATATTTCAATTTATATATTCGTTTTACTAGTTAATTAATTCTTGCCTTCAATTGTCAAATATTTCTTCAAGCGAAGGCAATCTTGCTACTCTTTTCAAAATGATGGTTTTAGAATATTTAAAAGCCATACCTAAATATTTCCCTGAACATCCAGCTTAAGCATATATGCATACCATGCCAAAGTTTTTGTAGCACATTTCCTTGTATTTATATAGGGGTCGTTTAGCATGGTTGACTGTCATGGACTAGTAAAAGTATGGAATAAAACCTTCGCACGTGTGATAAATCATCGTCTTAAAACTTTTCCTTGTATGTATATAGGGGTTGTTCAGAGATAGCTTAAAACATGTTGGAAAGATGTTAATACTAATACTTGGAAAACACTTCAAAACTCTCGATTACGATTGTGCTACGAGCGAATTAATACAAGGACAATTAGCAGTTTACATTATTCAGTAAAGTCTTCCATTATTATAGTTTAGCACAAAGATGGACCGAAGGTGATGAATTCGTTTATTAAATGTCGCTCTCGATCGTATGATTGGACAGTAATCAGTTTACTTAACTATAAACTCATTGATTCGGAGTATCCGAGACTCCGATTCTCGATCAACGAATTCCTACATGATTCTAGAGGTGCAGAGAACAACATATTTGGAAATGAGGTCAATCCAATAGTCCAAACATATTGTACCCGGACATCGCCTAATAGGCGTAAATCCGTTCGACTGTCAAACGATAACCAAATTTGAATCCGATCATACAGTCATGCTCGGGACGACATGGGGAGTGTTTTTGAATAAAATGGGCAGCCATCGAGTGGCCCACGCGCTGACAGTTTGTGGGTGGCTTGAGAAAATTTTGGCAACGGAAAATTCTCGAAACACCCAACAATACCCATACCAACACGTTTAGGCTAACAATGGGAGCATTTTGTATTCTTGGACCACGGCCAAAAAGTGGCTAGAGCTAGCCGAATCAAAGCCGGAACGGTACAGTTTTGACCGGAACTTCCCAGCCTTTTTACGGCTGCAGCAGCCACCAATGTTGTCCCGCAACCTAGGGGGAAAGCAAGAGGGATGAGAAAGCTTCCTGATCCAAGTGGTGATGTGACTAGAAGTGGCCGGAAAAGTCGGAATTCAATTCTTGAGTGGGAGGTGGTATTCTAATTCCTGAATAACTGACCCATTAGGAATTCATCTTTTTTACCCATTATATCCTTACACAATTTTCAAAATTCCAAAGTTGTCATCTACTTTAACCTAACAGCGAAGACATTTTGGTAGTTGGCACCACTCATACCCTAATCTCATATGGTTTAGTAAACAACTTCAATAGGAATCTAGAATCTAACTCCCCTTAATTCATATAGATTCTAGATTCCTTGCCACGTGTGATGAGCACAACCTATGATTGCACATGAGCAACACATACTCAATTGCTTTATGCGGATCGCTTCATCCCCATCCATCAGTATTGATGTAGGCTTCTTGACTTTCATGGAGGATATGAATGTCTCCAATAACAATTTCTATGTTCCAAAGGTCTCGTCCAGCAATATGACACAACCAACACTCGCTCGGTGGTTGTTTGAATCAACAAATAATACTAGAGGCTTGTCATACATATTGGTTTTGTATGTGTTGTCAAATATGAGGACGTCTCTAGAGACAATATAATCCAAAAGTGAAGTAAAGTCTCTCTAAAACAAGTTAGTAAGGCTCTTCTCCTCATCTCCACTGAACTTACAAAAAAATTCAAGATCCACTACCGCTTTCTCTTTCATGTAGGTGAGTGTAGCTTCAATGTCACAGTCTAACAATATTTCCCTACGTGATTCATCCAACTTCTTCCTTAAGGATTCAAGTTCTTAGCTCATGCATTGATGGAGGCTTAAATCCTACACTATATGCGCATTTCCTACCACCATAGGTAACCAAAATAGATCATTTACAATATTAAATGGGAGTGCTCTAAAGAAGAAAAAATGACCAATCTTGCCTCATTAACTGCAACACTCCTAGTACCGGGGATTCCATATTCTTTATCTAATGAAGTTTCCATACTCTGAGCCCCTTCTTGTGGACCATCCCCAATTTCTCTAAGCATTTCATTTTTCTTTCTTTTTTCAAGCTAAATTTTTTTCAAAGTTGCGGCACACTCTTTTTTCACATGCTCAGGAACTTTCTTACATGGTTGCATATCATGATGAGCTTGACCCAAATGATGCTAAGTCGAGAAATTTCTCCATTACATCTTTGATCACAAAATGTGCATCTCAAGTATTCCCCCCCCCCCTTCTATTTCTTTTGCATACTTCCACGCAGGATCTTTTCGATTCATAGCTATAAAACAACACCATTAATATTTCTAAGATACAAGTATGATGCATATATGTCAAATTTATACTATATTACATAAACGAATAAGATAACTAATATATTAAAAAAAATTATACAGAACTTCAAATTACAACAATTTATTTATTATTATTATTATTATTTTAGTATTAAGAAAAGATAACATGGGTATCTGATTTCGTTTTTAATTTTAATTTTTTTAATATAAAAAATGTGAATTTACCATATTATCCTCATTTAATTAATAATTTCAATTCTTAATGTGTGAATTAACCAATAGCATTTTATGGTATTTTGAATGTTTCACCATTCTCTGCATTTTGCTTTATATAAATAGATAAGTCCATATATTAATATAGAAAAGAAAAAAAAAAGGTAAGTAGAATTAAGCTACAGCTGGCTGGATTTAGAAAAGGCAAGAAAGATATTAATTCTTCTTGCCTTAAGTTTATTACAATAAAGGTAGGGAAAAAAAAACAGAAACTTGGGTTTTTTTTTATCAAGACACTCCAAATGAAACGAGGTCGTTTCAATTAGAATTTTTTTAGAGCACTACAATCGAAACGACGTCGTTTTATTACAGTAAGCCTTTTGAAAAAAACACGCGAGTCGTCTTCTTCGCAGAGTCGCAGCCAATTTGAAGACTCGCAAAATTTCTTCCGGTTCAGAAGTGTCCAGATCTGGCTCGCCTCGCTCCGCCTGGCCTCGCCGTGCAACGCCTCCTTAAGCCTTCCCCGCGCTAAACGTGCAACTCACGAAACAGCCGACCTCCTCGGGGCGATTTCCTGCCGCCTCGCTCCGACGCGCGCGAAGGCATGCCTTTAAAAACACTGATTGAAATAAAGAAATGGGTGAGTGGAAAAGGCATAGAATTCTGATGGTCTCGGATTTTTTCTATCCCAACTTTGGTGGTGTGGAGAATCACATCTATTATCTCTCACAATGCCTTCTCAAGCTTGGTCACAAGGTCAGACATACAGTCTCTTCCACTTTCTGGGTTCAACGTGTGTGTTTTTGTATATGTAATTATCTAATATAACTGGAAAACAATAGTTCAATGAAACTGCTGATTTATTTATTTGTATGCTCTCATATTGCTTTTCCAGCACAAGGATGTTGAGGCCCCCATCTAGGTAATAGGGGCATTAGATGAACCACCATTTTGTTTTGGAGTAATGGGAATTTTGTCATGATACTCGACTTGAATGATGTGGCAGCTAAGGTGTAATGAGGAGTTTCTCTAGAGATGGGGGTGGGTGCCAGATTATATATTGCTGTATACTTGTAGTTGTTTTAATATGATTGGAACATCTGAGTTGCCGAGTGTTTTGAGATATAAAAAAATGAAAATATTTCGTGACACAAATCAGCTTCCTTTGTTCTATTAGTTGTTGACTAGATGAACTTTCATTGTTTGATTGTTCAGGTGGTGGTAATGACTCATGCCTACAACAATCGTTCTGGGGTGAGATATATGACAGGCGGATTGAAAGTGTACTATGTACCATGGAAACCGTTTCTTATGCAGAATACTTTTCCAACCTTTTATGGGACACTTCCAATAGTAAGGACTATCCTTATTCGAGAGAAAATATCCCTGGTACATGGACATCAAGCTTTCTCAACTCTTTGCCATGAGGCTTTGATGCATGCGCGCACAATGGGGTACAAGGTCATATTTACTGATCATTCACTCTATGGTTTTGCTGATGCGGGAAGTATACACATGAACAAGGTATTGCAATTTACATTGGCAGAAGTAAGTCAGGCCATTTGTGTTTCTCATACAAGCAAGGAAAACACAGTGCTACGGTCAGGTTTGCCACCAGAAAAGGTCTTTGTGATACCTAATGCTGTTGACACAGCTATGTTCAAGCCCGCACCAGAGCGCCTGAGTAGTCATGAAATTGTAATTGTTGTTATAAGTAGATTGGTTTACCGAAAGGGCGCAGATCTTCTCGTTGAAGTCATTCCAGAAGTATGCCGTTTATACCCCAATGTGAGTTGTTTTCACATAGCATTCAATGAAAATATTACGTTTCTTATCATGTTTGCTCATTCTGTGTAATGAATTTTAATATTGGAAAGGACTTGAATGTGTGCGCCAATAATTCTGTGATTGTATATTGAGATGATCATATATTCATCACTTGTCAGCATTACATGCAAAACAATTTTGATGTGTGAAGGCCTAACCTAAGGGGATGCTTTTGATATAAAGAAAATGTTGAGGGTGGTTTGGAGCATAACATCATTGGATGTAATAATTCTGTGATTGTATATTGAGATGATCATAAATTCATCACTTGTCAGCATTACGTGCAAAACAATTTCAGTGTGTGAAGGCCTAACCTAAGGGGGATGCTTTTGATATAAAGAAAACGTTGAGTGTGGTTTGGAGCATAACATCATTGAATGTAATTATTAACATGGTTAATTAGCATTCAATCATCTCATTCAGAAATATGTGGTAAGGTTCGTTTCATTGTTGGAGGAGATGGACCGAAACGTGTGCGGTTGGAGGAGATGAGGGAAAAACATTCTCTTCAAGATCGAGTTGAGATGTTAGGTGCCGTGCAACACTCTCAAGTACGATCTGTCCTAATTACTGGCCATATATTCTTAAACAGGTACTTATGAATATCATCTTTGATTTTATCTTTTATAAATATCTGAAGAACAATTTTTGTAGCTACACCAACTCAGGCGAAAAAATTAAATCGTTGGGAATCTTGTAGTTTACTACAACTGGTGGTCAAATTGCCTTTATTTTTTGAAGCTAAACAGTGGCGTTATTAATACCGGTGATACTATCAATACAGTTTGAAACACAAGTAAATTAGGAGTTGCAATTGCTTGCAGATGCATTGGAGCATAGTCATACTACTTTTTCTGCTAGCTAACTGTTGAAACTACGGAGAAAGCATCACAGTTTCACAACTATAGTAATATATAAATGTGAATGAATTTGCACCAACATGTATTCAACTTCATCTATGTCTGTTAAAACCATTACCTTTTGTTGTAATTTTTTATGATACGATTTTTCCCTTCTGGCAGTTCTTTAACAGAAGCTTTTTGCATAGCGATCTTAGAGGCTGCTAGTTGTGGATTATTAACAGTCAGTACACGTGTAGGAGGTGTCCCGGAGGTATGAACTTTGGAATCTTTTTTCTCTAATAGTTAATAAACTAGTATTTTTTTTTCTTTCTTAAAGCTAGGATAAATTCCATCTCTTAGTAGAGTCGAATTTGTATTAGATTCATTTAAACTTAGTTAACCCCATTTCTGTACATAGGTACTACCAGATGACATGATTGTACTTGCAAAACCAGATCCTAGTGATATGGTTCAAGCAATAAAGAAGGCAATATCTATACTTCCCAAAATTGACCCACAAGAAATGCACAATCGTGTGAGTGCACTCTTTCAAAAATTGTTGTCTTTAGGCGCATTGACTACTTGTACAGTGGTTAAAATATGCTTCTTTGGTTCTTTGTTGGTTGTAGATGAAGGAGCTCTACAATTGGCATGATGTGGCGAAACGGACAGAAATTGTTTATGACCGTGCTCTGAAATGCTCAAATCAAAATCTTTTACAACGACTCTCACGGTGTGCTACTCAAAGCTTGCATCTAAATTGCATGCTTGTACAGATGTGGTTATGAGTCTGAGTGCTTAAAACAAATCCGTTGTGCATAGAGTGTGAACCAGCTATTCTCTTCATCACATCAATGGTAAAACTGTAAAAGCAGAGGTATTGACTGCAATACCATTGTTCATCTTGTCTTGCTTGAGGGGATGATAATGAGTTTTTCTTTACAGTTTAGGGAGACAAGGATGCACAGGTAGTTGTTTTTTCAGTTCGAAGGCTGACTGTTGTATCTCTTGATCCATTAGCTTATTAATGATTGCAAGATGGAGTGGAGAGGGAGCGCTTGTGTATTTTGTTGGTAGAAACTGTGTCACATTGAATTTTAGTTAAGCTGCTTGAATTGGACGTCAAGAACTTGATTAGGAGGCAGTGATGGATTTTGAATTTAATTTAATTATATATTTATCTTGATGTTTTGAGATTGCATAAATATGCCAGGAGCAATTTCAGGGATGCTAATTGCTTAATTTGTTTATTGTAGATACCTCTCATGTGGAGCTTGGGCGGGAAAGCTTTTTTGCTTGGTTATGATCATTGACTTTCTGTTATGGCACCTGTTGCAACTATGGAAGGTTGTGTACTTTCTGTGCATGTTCTTTGGGTTTCCACATTAATTTGTTTTCCTTTTTTAATTATATTCCTTTCATTGTCCATTAGCCTGCAGAGGATATGGAAGAAGTGCCTGATTTCATTCTATCCCATGATCAAGATGAAGGGATCTCACAGGACAATGAGAACCAAAGCTTGAGATGATTGCATTTACAAATTGGAATTGTTCCCTGCATGAAATAGATTGACCTTAAAAAGAGGATGAAATGGATTGACCTGATCTCTTTTTTATGTTGTTTTCACTTGGCTGGTGGTATCAAATTAGTCCTGTATGTAGTGAAGATTTTGTCATGAAGACTTAAAGATGCTTGTCTGTTGCCTGCATGGCAACTTTTGAACAAATTTTGGCCGGAATTTGGCCGGATTGGCTACTTCCTTTCAATTGTTCAGAATTACCTTATAAAATTTTGGCCTTGGTGTTGGTGATGAAATAGCCCGGTTTTTGTACTAATTACTCATCCTATTTCAATAATATACTATTGCCCTTCTTTCAAAAAAACGAAAATGATCCTTCCAGTTTATTTCGCATCCAGTTTCCTATGATTCTTGAAGGTCGAAGCCTCTTGGTTATATTTTGTTTTCCTTAGGGCAGAGATTCCACTGGAGCATGTACTTTAAAAGCCTCATGAGGTCATGCTCTGTCCTTAAAAATTCAACCTTAACCTTAGTAAAGAGAGCGTGTAATGCAAACGCAAAATGCAGGGCCTACAAACTTGTGTCTGGCCAAAAGAAGATAAAGAGGATGCATAGCAAAATCCAAAATGTACATGGCAATTGACAAGTTGGGTACGTGGAGCAAGCCTAAACACTAAAAACATGAAACAAGCTGACCTCTAACCGTTGGTTGAACGTTCATCTATGGCCGCCATGTGAGCTTTGTATATCACACTTGACACTTCATCAGTCCATTGCTCTCTGTCTCTCTCTCTCTCTGTCCTCGTATCAAAGCCATGGCAAGCACTACCTCTCCCTTTCTGTCTGTGTCAAAATTGGATTTTCCATTTTTATCCTCTCAGAGAAACATAACTTTCAGCAAGGAAAATCTTCATCAAGTTAAGATGCCTCGTAGGATGTCTAAGTTTTCTGGGTTTGAATCAAATGGGTTTATCTTATTTTCTTCTTTGAGTGGTCAAATTGGTGAGGGCAGCTTTCCTAGTCCAGAAGCCACTGCGAACAACAATGCGCCTGAGGTCCAAGTTCAAAGCAGGTACCATGCTTTCAGTTCCTCTCTTGCTCTAATAGGTTTAGAATTTTGCATTGTTCTAAGTTTCTGTTTGGTTTTAGAAAGTAGGAATTCTTGAAGCAATTGTGAAGTTTCATATCCGGTTCTGGGTTTTCTTTCAAGAGATGTATATAAAGAACTTTCCTCTGGTTTCTAGGAAACGATCAAATTTTATGTCTTTAAGTTAGCTATGCTGCCCTTCATACGAAATTTAGTGAGTAAGCTGTTTTTTATTAAATTTTCTAGAAGGTTAGACTCTAATTTAGCTTTACATTCTATGGATCATACAATGCATAGTTGTGGAAAAACTGGCATAGTGGTAAGCGAAAAAAGATGCGACAGAGGATAGCTGAATCATAAAACATCGCATGAGCCCCGAAAACTAAGTCCAACTGTGGTAAAGGGAGCTAATATGGACTAACCAAGAGGGGCAAATGAAAATTTGGATGAGAACCTCAAATTGGAAGTCTCATAAAGACTACATCTTGCCATCTTTCTACAAACACACCAATTTCCACTTTATTTGGAATCTCCTGATTTCTAACTGAGACATGGAGTGAGAGTGGCTCATGTGCTTTTATAGAGTTGTGCTTTTGATTCCCACTTAATATATGAACCAAAGTTTTAGTGATCAGCTAATGAGAATAATTTGGATACTCATGTTGCTTGTTGCCTGAAAGAGTTTTTCTATTTTCAGTTGCCATTGTATCATTGATTCTTTATTTCATGTTAATTGTAATTGATATAAGTATTTGGCATCTTTTTTTGGCTGACAGTGGGTTTGAATTAATGATTGTCTTTCTTACTTTCTAGTGTCATTTTTCTTTTGTGTGTTGTAGAATATGGAACTGGAGGGGTTATTCTATCCGCTATCAGCATGCTGGCAACAGTGGCCCGGCATTAGTATTAATTCATGGTTTTGGAGCAAACAGGTCTACATCATGCACACATTACTTCTCATAAGCAGACAACTAATTGCTATAGGTATTACATGCGCAAATTGCTATATACATTCATGTTTTACACACAGAGGCATGAGACGTATCCATTTTTCTTAGTTGTACGCATGGTATGAACTTCATTAAATTTGAAAAATTAAATTTACTTATGTAAGGTTTTGCACTTTTAAGTTTGTTGCTTACTTATCTTGTAGATAGTTGTGAGAGAGTTAAGTCCTAAGTCAGATCATAGCTGCTCAAGCTGTTGTTAGTGCTTAAGATAAGGACCCATGAACAGACCAAACTCTAATCTTTCTGGGTTTTGGTGCAATCTAGAAGCTAAAGTTTCATTTTTTGGGCTTTGTATTCCCCACAATTTTCGAGTTTTCATGCATAACTTGCATTTTAAATGTTACCAAACTATTTGCACGTTTCACACTTTGCCATATGTTTCAGAGTTTTGTTGTATGATCTCTTTCATTCCATGCTTAACTTGTCAAGGTCAGTACCTATGACACACTTGTTATTCTTTACAGTGACCATTGGAGGAAAAATATTCCAGTTCTTGCAAAATCACATAGGGTATACTCAATTGATCTTATTGGTTATGGGTACTCAGACAAACCAAATCCTCGTCAATTTGGGGAAAGTTCCTTTTACACATTTGAGACATGGGGCACCCAGCTAAATGACTTTTGTATTGATGTGGTCAAGGATGAAGCATTCTTTATATGCAACTCTATCGGAGGTGACCATCTCTCTCTCTCTCTTTTTGGTATGAGTTGTAAGTTTTTGTGCTTAACTAGTTCTGCCTAGTGATGAATGAAAATGATCAAGGGAAAAAAAAACATATAATTTATGCCGTCTTTGTTAATCTAATGGCACCTGTGAGGCTGTGAAAAGATCCTGTGATAGGATATTATGCTTTCCATCATGTGTTGGTCAGACATGCCTTAACAATAAATAACATATTAATATATTAGCATTCAGATATGTATATGGAAAGATAGTGAAGTCTTGGATCCGAAGGAGGTCACCATTAAAGTTCATTTTTGGTTACTTTGCTGCAATAAACTTATGAAAGAAATATTTTGGTAAAATATACTGCCTTTGCTTTCTTGCTTACCATCTTCTAATACCCTTTGTTCTTTAGAAACTATTTCTTTGAATGACATCAACAGAGACATACCCTTATGAGTTTTTTTGGGTCTTCACATAGGACTTGTTGGTCTTCAGGCAGCAGTTATGGAGCCACAGTTATGTAAGGGCATAATCCTCTTAAATATTTCTCTTCGTATGCTTCATATTAAAAAGCAGCCTTGGTACGGAAGACCATTGATTAGATCATTTCAGAACTTACTGAGGTAAAGCTGGATTAAATAGTTTGTTTGTCATGTTAGAGTTCTTTAGTGTAAACACAGAGTTCAAGTCATGATGTTGTGGCAGAAATACTGATGTGGGCAAATATTTTTTCAAAACTGTTGCCACACCAGAGTCTGTGAGGAATATCCTTTGCCAGGTATTTTACGATAGCGACATATTTATTTTTTGATAAGCTGCTAAAATTGAAGTATATAAACCAACGTTATCTGATTAGCAAAGAGATTCATAGCATAGTACAAATTACGAAAATGATTTTTTGCAAATAGTTAAAATTTGGAATCTTTTCAATCCATCCACATAAGTCTTTCTGGATCTTAATGGGTATAACAGACACTTCAGCTATGATAGGTACATATTCACTCTAAGTGGGAATCTAGCTTGAATGTCGTTGTGGTTGCCTATGGTGGTGTGTGTTTGCTAAGCTGTATTGTGTTATATCCAAATTATCTTTTTTTTTAGAAGCTAAAAAACTCGTGAACACTTGCACTCTTCCCTTTTGTTTCTTTGTTTAGGTTTACTGATACGAATAATTGCATTTCAGTGCTACCATGACACCTCCCAGGTAACAGAGGAACTAGTTCAAAAAATCCTTCTTCCAGGACTTGAGCCTGGTGCTGTAGATGTATTTCTGGAGTTCATTTGTTACTCAGGTGGCCCCCTTCCTGAGGAACTATTGCCTCAAATGAAGGTTAGTGTCTCAGTAAACTCAGTAAACTGATTACAGTATCCTTACTAACCACTCACACCAGAAAAATTTAATATTACTAATGCATCAAGTAGCTTCAAGTTTTTAATTTTTCTTCTCTGTACAGTGCCCTGTTTTGATAGGATGGGGTGAGAAGGATCCATGGGAGCCCATTGAACTTGGACGTGCCTATGGGAAATTCGATTCTGTAGAAGACTTCGTTGTTCTTCCTAATGTCGGCCACTGCCCGCAGGTCTCTCTCTCTCTCTCTCTCTCTCTCTCTCTCACACACACACACACACACACAGCCACAAACACTCCGAGGTTATAACTTGTCTGTATATATAAGCACCAGAGTAGGTATTTAAGAGCTGCCTTGGAGCAGAATGGTAATAATTTAGCTCTCAGAAAGGTTTGCGTATATGAAGGCTATTGGAGTTTTTAATATGTTTGAGAAGATGTATGGATGTATAATGTGGTTTTGTAGCACATGCTAAAATCTGGCTCGGAGAAACTGGTTTCTGTTGTCTTGGGGATGAAAGATTAGATCAAATGTATAAATAGGGAAAAGAAGTGCTAGCGCCCAACCATAAGCAGATATAATTAGTATGAATTCAGATAACTTTCCCATTGACAACGAACGCTGATTCATAATTTGTTAATGTTCCTGATCCTGAAGGATGAAGCACCTGACTTAGTGAATCCACTGGTCGAGTCATTTGTGGCACGCCATGCTGCACTCTCAGCCAGCATTTCCACAGCTACCTGATCTGTGGCATGTCAGTTTGTTGCAGTTTCTTTGTGCAGCAAAGGCCATTGCTAGTCAAAACTTAATTCTTATGCCCCAGAAGCAGCGGCTTTCAAACAGTATTGCAGATGCTTTTGATGTTCTATTGATGGCGTCATCATGTGGCATCTGAATAGAATGTTACGAGACGTGTTATGGCACCCTAACTAGTTTTATATTCTACGCTTTCCCTTTTACCAGGAATACCAAGTTTCTATTAGGTTTTGCTCTTTGTAATCACATATTATGACTGTGTAAGACCTCTTTAGTTAGTGATGTATCAGCTTCACATTGAGGAATACTTTGTATACGTTTTACAATCACATTGAAGGATATATACGTATTGATCTTGTCTCATATATTGCTATGGTACGTCATCTTATTTCCAATACATTGTTGACAATGATGATTTGAACACTTGAGAGTTGAAATCATGTTTAGAATGCAAATGGTGCTTAGTTAATTGATTTTACTGTTTTTGTCCTGTAAAAGGATGACATATTGGGTTGTGACATGTTTATCATTTTGGTTCAAATGGTCTCTCATATGTATGCATTCATGTGGGGCTGCAGTTCTTAATCATACTGTTTTGAACTCAAGGATGTATCAGACAGAATAATTAATGCCCATTTCACTCATTACATCAACAATTAGAAATACTTATTTGGTTTAAATACATAATGATGAGATCTTGTACATAAGCAGGAAGATTAACCCTTGTCTTTTTTGCTTGCCTTTTACTGCTGACTCAATTAAATTTTCCCATGAAAAACTAAGATGCAGACTTTTGTCGAACTGTAGCAGATTATTATCAAGGATTTTAAAAGCCAAAAAGTCAGCAATGGCTTCATAATTAAATGGAACAGTGACAAACCAGAGAGACATTTCACCGACAAGTTCATTGTCCCGTTTAGCTTGTTTTTATAAACTTTTACTGGTTCCAAAATCATGATTATTTACAAAGCAATGCGCCTAAGAAAAGGTGAATATATGTTCTGTTTCTGAGTAATGGAACTTGTCTTGACCAAAAAGAGTTCAAATTTTGCTTTCATATCACCCTTGTTTGAATAAGATAAAATATCTAGATAACTAAATATAAAATGAGATTTTCAAACATCCGTTACCTTAATTTTTATAGAGCAGAAGAGTTGAGAAAATCTCAATTTTAGTTATTTGTCTTCAAATTTGATTCGACTTATTGACATAATTATTTATTTAGAATACAAAATAACCCTTTAGAGTTTATATATTTTAGATTTTAAGCAATTAACGTAATCTGATATTACAACCTAAAATCTAAGCTCTAAAGAGTGATTTTACACCCTAAAGAATCAACCATGTTAATAAATCAAATCAACACTAAAGAAAATTGAGTAAAAATAAGTTCTTAGCACGTTGTTTAAAGAACAAAAGTCATGCACAGAGAATAAACTACTCAAATATCAATATACAATGTCTCATGCGAGTCTCTCTCTCCCTAGCAACCGCACAAATATACTTATGGGATTAAGAACCATTATGAAGATTGTCCAATAGGACAGGATTGAAGCGTGATCATACAATAAATCCTAAAATATTAGCCAGACATGACATATGCTCATGATTAGGAGGTGAATGTGGTAAAAGTGCGTGCAAACTTAGAAATCAAACCCATATGTCTTTTAAAAATAAAAAATGAAAACTCAACAATCCAGAAATCAACCTTCTTCAATCAAAGTTCCAGAAAATTCAAGCTAGCAGAGATTGGACCCGAACCTAGAATGCGAGGTTGGATGTTGGGGTTGACCCTCCCTTTCTCGCGTCAACACCCCCCTCTCTTGCTGTTTATACCAAAATGAACAGCCAATGAATACCAAACACGTGGACCAAACCAGGGCTACGTGTGCCTTCGGCACTCACCTTCGGTACCAAACCTACCGATCGCAACATTAGGGCAACCCCGCCCCGCCGGACGCGTGGCAGTCTCACAATTGACGCCCAGAGTCCCACATCGAAACTCTCAACAAATTGCACACCTCCCAAGGCCTATAAAAGAGGACACCCATCCCAGCTTGAAGGTAATCAATCAGGACTTACGGCATACTGCCTATTGATCTGAAGTTCAAACTTATTAAATCCGTACTTACCTAAGTATCGGAGAGCCTTCGGCCGGTACCACACCGGTGCCCTAGGATTACCGTGCGTTTGCTTTCTTACAGATCGCACACACTATCGAGGACATCTGATTCCGAAGAGACCTAATCACTAAGTTGCGCGGGAAAGTATCAAACCATTTTTCTGCATCAACAGTTTGGCGCCGTCTGTGGGAAAACGATAAAATCAACCTACAATTCCTAAAAACAAAACAAATGGGAACCACTTCAGGACCACAGTTCCTTTCAGAGGACGGATTACCGTACGGTATGCCAAGTGGAGCAAGCCCCGCGCTGCACCCTAGCACCCCTTTCGGTAATCCTCCGACGCTTCAGACCACGGTTGAAGCGGAGCTCTTGGCTCAAATGACCTCCCTTCGAAGGGAGATGGCTAAACTCCAAGAACGTAACAATCTCCTTTCGTCCAAAGTAGACGAAACCCAACGGCTGCTTAACCAGCAGGAAACGCGAAACGTTCAGACCACCGAATCTTCCCAGAGTCAGCAGACCCCCGGTCGGCAGACGAAGGGAAAGCAGGGGGCAAAGGCAA